CCCCAAAACCCCAAAACCCCAAAACCCCTGCGAAGGGATTTTAAATTGAATGGATAATTATTTGAAAATGGAACTTTTGGGGAGGGGACAATCGGTTTTGATGGTTAAGTTTAGTAATGCTATCAATATCTTACTTTATTATGGGAATTATTATGAAGTATTGCAGTTCTACCCTTATCTTAATAGGGAGACTTATAAAACATGGACTACAAATAAAATTGCTTTGGCAAATGCTCTCTTAAGTCAAAGGAAGGTTATCAGCTACTATAATGAGTTCAATTCAGAATTTGCAAACTATCTTATAGAGCATGATAGATACCTTATATACGAAATCGATTGATACCTTGCCTCTCATAGAGCTGCAAAGACATTCCTTAAAATGATCAAGTATTTGAAAGAACTTGAAAAAGCAGATAATAGCCTTGGAGCTTGTTGTCTAATCTTTAAGAAACTTGAGATTAGGTTGAGTAAGAAATTATGCAATGCTAAAATTATCAATAAAATATTTGAAGAGCTTCCTGACTCTTGTAATAAAGCAGATGCTTTTCAGATTGACCCAGAAGAATCATATCTGAGTGATCGAAAGCTTGATCTGTTTTACAATAATTTTGTAACTCAAATGCAAGTAAACTTCAGCTCCTTAAATTTTATATCCAGAATGAGTCTTGTAAAAAGGTTGAAGATGGCATTATAAACTTAAAGACTAAAAGGCTCAACTATGATTGGGTTCGAACATCATATGAATTTTTAGCTGTGAACAATCTTCTTCTAGTAGAAGAACTTGAAATTACTCACAAAGAGTTCTTTACAATGATCCAGGATGGCTTATTTGATCCAGAAATTACCTTCCAGTCAATAAAGAAGTTGATACTTACACCAAGCTTTTTATTACAAAAAAGCGATATGACACTATTCAGTTCATTTGATCAGATTAAGGATAAATAACCTGTCTTCTAAAGCTTCTTTAAAAAATCTCAAACATGTTGTTTTCAGAAACTTCATATGGAGACCAGAGTTGAGAGTCGATTTCAATAAATATGCTTTGGCTGAAAACCAATCTGTTCAGTATTGAAGAGACAAAGATGACACCTGAAGTTGTTCAAATAATGGTGCTGGAGTAATTGCAATAAAGGCTCATGATATATACATTTACACTCTTTATGAAACAGATATAAAGATGTTCAAAGTTAAAGAATTCTCTTGTAGAAATTTTGGTATGCAAACTTTTGATATTTTATAGAAAGAGAGATGAAAATGCAAACATTTTTCTTCAAAAAATATTTTAAATACCCTGACAAGCACTATCTAACACTCCCTGCCTTAAGATGCTCGAATTTCATTGAGATATCAGAAGTGCAAATCTTCCCTATCAATGTCGTTGAAAACTATTGTCTCAGTCCAAATTCGACCAATGAAAATCAGCCTTTCTTGAATAAGATTCGCAAAGACTCTAGCTTCCTACACCATTTAAAATTAATGAAAGATGCTCCTGACACTATTATAATTGAAAACAAGAATATTGACTATGTTTGTACCGACAATTACAGCAAAGGGCCAATATCTGGAAAGATGGTATTTCATGATCAGGTAAATAATGTTTTCTTTTATGTTTTGTTCTATTTATCGAATCTTGTAAAAATTTAATGGCTCAAAAAAGCCAATCATATCAACTGTGTTAATTCGAGATTTTAGTTCAAATCTGATTGGGTTTTAAACAACTGCAATCTCTACGATTGAAAGACTGTAGATCTTTGCTTCAATGAAAGCTATGATCAAGAAGAATTTGAAAGAGTGGCTAAAAACTTAAAGATATGTCATCCATGTTTTGACCTTAACATTCATATTTATACTTATTGGCCCAGAGTAACAAAAATTGAATATTTACAGCTTAAAGAAATCCTATCAATCAAACCTCCAAATGTATACCTATCTGAATGCCCAGGACTTTATCCATTAATCATCTCACTGTTATGTTCAATTCCCGTAAAGTCTCTTACTGGGACTAACTTGGCTATCAAACATCGCATTCCTAAACCGATAAAGAGGAAGATTCTCCAGGCAGAGAATAATTTATATATGTCTCAAGAAAGATCACAGTCTTCTAAGAATGATTTCATAGAGCAATTAGAAATTAGATGGATGTAATTTTTCGAATTGATCATCTCCATTATGAATAATCAAAGCGAGTCAGTATTCAATCAAATATTTAATACAGGGGTTTTGGGGTTTTGGGGTTTTGGGG